AAAATAATCAGAAACACCATTTAAAAAACAACAAATATTTTCAGTATCAATAATACACTTATTTTTTTTAGTGTAAGCAGTGCCTAACGCATTGTAATGCCTTAAATGTCTTAGAAGGGTTTCACCTAAGCTCAGTTGGAAGAAGAAACCACAAAGTAGCAGTTGCGTTCAATATAAACCGCGATCCCAAAAATCCCAACTGACAGAAAAACAAACACGTAAAAGAAGGAGTATAATTACGAAGAATAAGAGATAATAAGTATTAAGTCAAGACATCTTAGAATTTAGATGAAGTTCAACCCAGGGAGAATAAAAGATTTAATGTAAGAAATGTGAGACAAAACAAGTAAACTGAAATTAGTTATGTATAACGCAGCAAAGCTCATAACCAGGCTAACTGTGTTCTGCCCACCATGGGGATCCAAACCCGGTTTATAGCTTTGTAAGTCCGCAGACATACTGTTGTGCTATTGGGGTGCGAGCCAATAGAAACCAGTGACAAAAAAAATATCAGTTAACTTTTTTAAGAAATCATTTCAAACACTATGACTTACGAATTACCTCCCCTAAATAAAATCTATAACATCAGTTATCTTTAAGTTATTGGTGTGAACGGTTTTTTTGGTGAATTACGATTATAATCAATTGTATTTGTCAAAAAACAATAGTATTGGACTATAGATATGACAGACATAGTGTAATTGAAATACTGTTATGAACTCTTCTAGGTTTGTTTGTTTTGAATTTCGTGCAAAACTACACGAGGGCTATCAGCACTAGCCGACCCTATTTTAACAGTGTAAGACAAGAGAGAAGGCAGCTAGTCATCACCACCCACCGCCAACTCTTGGACTACTCTTTTACCAACGAATAGTGGGATTGACCGTCACATTATAACGCCCCAACGGCTGAAAGGGCGAGCATGTTTGGTGGGAGAGAGATTCGAACCCGCGACCCTCAGATTGCGAGTCGAACGCCTTAACCACCTGGCCATCACTTTTCTAAGACCATTAAAAAGTTCAGTGTTTAAGAAGCAAAACAATAAGCGTAATGTTACCGTATTATTAAAATGTAATTAATAAGTAATATTTTTAGCTTTTATTATAATTGCTGAATTCATTCTAATGCAATCTGTACTTTTGTGCAAAAATAACCTGACATATTCCATTAGAAATGTTAATAATTATTTATTAAAGATATCTAGATTTTTTGTAGACACGTTAGTACTTGTATTACATTCTCCAGTAAAGATTCTTAAAAATTATATGTTTGTACGTTTTCTCTTACATTGTAATCCTAATTTCAAAATTGGATTTGCACTATCGGAACTTACCAGCAAAGTTAAGTGAGTCTCTTTGGTACTTCTTACAGTCACCATTAGCTGAACTGCTACCTTAAAGAGCGCCCCCAATATTTTAAAAATCACATTTTTCAAATTTAGCCTAAATCGAAAGTTTAACCTTTTTTTTTCTACATAAATAAATCATTTGTCTTAAAATCTTTACTAAATAACCGGTAGTAAGTGATTAAAAATAAGTCTAGTTTGTTTACATTCCGTTTCCACTTCACCATTAAAACAAATAGTAGCATGAAATTAGCCATTAGCATGAATTGTTTACCAATTCTCTTGTTATAAGTCTAATTACCACTAGCGAAGGATTAATAAAACAATTAATTGCTCATAGCTCGTTAACGTTGCAGAAAATTTGGAGTGCTTTTAATTCAAGCTATAAGGATGTTCACAAAGAGCATGTGTATCAAATTTCACATGTTTTTATCATTCCTAAGTAAAGTTATGGTGTTAAAACAGTTTATGTTATGTATTTCTTTATCCCTGCCGCATTAAATATGCATATAACATATATAACAGTAAGTGTACTTTCCGAGATTGTGACATCATATTTGTGTTTTGTATTCAACTTGAAGGTTATAAAAAGTTGAATTTGCACAGTTTTAAGGGTTAGTGCTACCTTAACCCCAAAGTCAATTGACTATATACACTGTATATATACATGTATATATATATAAATAAAAGTAGTCTATTTTTTGTTGTAGAGCAAAGTCACATTGGGTTATCTGTTGTATCCATCGCAGAGAATCGAACCCGGATTTTAGTCCATAAACTTACCACTGACCCACCAGGGAATACCAAAAGTAGAGGTTAAAAAAATGTGACCAATAGTTTAAAAAAATGTCCTCAAGAAATATGACTCTCTGGTAAGTTACATTCTACAACAAACCAAAAGAAAACATTTCATAAAAACATATCTTTATGTAAGGAAACAAAAATGAAATTGAAACTGGTTCGTGCTTCTTAATACCGATTAAACTATTTAATTAAGCCTATCTTGCAATTTTATGTCTATTGTCTATTATATGTCTATGTATTAGTCTGAGGATTAAAAGTTTGAGGGATTAATTAGATTAACTAGATATTTTGATGTGTTGACAAGTTTCAGATTTATTTAAAGTTAAAAACACTGATCATAATTGAAACATTTCAATTTTTTCAAACATTTTTTACTTTACAATAATTACCTTTAGTTTTAGATATAATATAAAGTAAAAAGAAAGTTCTTAGTCTTAAACAATGAACTACTGCTCTTTGATTTCCTACCGAACCACGTTAAAGAAGTAACTAATAAACAATGATACCTTTTAAACTTCATTTTTACATTTTTTCACTTTATCTAACAAGTTTTTAACACTATTTCAGATCATCAGGACTGACCTAATTAAGGCTCTGAGACAGGGTCGAAAGCTTGTCGTGTAAATAAAAAAATTAAATGTGAAAATTAACCCGTTTTATTAGTTATAAATTACAATCACGTTTAACGTATGCTGGGCTGTGGAGCTGAAATTCCGTGGTTAGTGTCCTGTTCCTGCAGAAAAAAACAAAACAAATCGCACTTCTCATTTTGAAGTCGAGAACGCGTTATAAGAGTGACAGGTCAAATCCAACTATTCGGCTTGAAAATAATAATCCAAGGGTTAAAAGCAGGTAGTTTTGACTGGCTGCCTTTCTTCTAGTTCATCACTCCAAAATTAGGGATGGTTAGCAGAGATGGCCGTCTTGTCGATTTGCACGAAATCTAACAGACAAACAACCAAAGACTATCTTGCTTTTTTGTGGGCCGGTTGTTTATTATATTGCTATATACTGGCCTTAATAGCATGTTAATATTGGAAGAAAAAGTCATAGAGATGTGTTAATAAAGTGTAAAATATAAAGATAAACTTTTTGATAATTAATCTGCGGGTTGCGGGTTCGAATCCTCGTCATCTAGCATGCTCGCCCTTTCAGCCGCGGGGGCGTTATAAAGTTACGGTCAATTTCACTCTTCGTTGGTAAAAGAGTAGTCCAAGATTTGGCAGTGGGTAGTGGTGAATAGCTGCCTTCCCTCTAGTCTATAACTGTTAATTAGGGATGGCTAGCACAGATAGCCCTCGTGTAACTCTGCGCGAAATTCAAAACAAACCGAACTGTGAATTAATCAAATTATTCAGAAAATCTTAAGCACTGTTAAAAAAATTAATTCATATTGCAGCGTAGTAGAATGCGATCGAGATAATTCGGTATTATTAGCTTTAATATCACTAACTTCTCTGTATAACAAAACAACCTATAGGCACGTCAGACCTTTTCGGTAATGATGTATGCTCAATTTTTTAACGTTACATTTATTGGTTAGAATGATGAATATATCTGAATTTATATTTTTATTATTATATTTCTATTATTAAAACTTCCGCGCTTTTCTAGTTTAGATTATTTCTGTGATCCATTTGGTCTTAGTAACCAGAAATGTGAATCTGGTTTTCTACGGAATACGTCGCAGGTGTCGTGTTCTAGTTAATATCTGAGTAGCGAAACAAGACTTTGTCAAATTAATTCAGGGTTCAACTTCCTTAGAATCCAACCATGTTAAAAGCAGGTAATTACTGCAGTAGCAACTTTCCTGAGCGCCTCTTTATCAATAAAAATAAATCTTTCTAGTGGAAGTTTATTAACCCTAAATAAGAGGAGAACATTCTCGAATTTCACGAAAATAAACTTTGATTAAAATACTAGAGAGTTATAATAACTTATTAACGAACCGTGTCATCAGAAGTTTGCATTTTCTGCAATTCTAAAGAAAGTAGTTGTAACAAAATACTCTTGTTTTGGTCATGCTATACTGATAGCAAAAGACACATATGACGTTTATACAACAGAATTCTAGGAAGTTAGTATAATTAACAAAGATATTTTTGAGTATTGTTATACCAAAAGCGCTCGTATTTTATTCATCCAAACAATATTTTGAACGATAATTATTGGCGATGCGTTTATTCCTTCGGGACCTGAATAAATCATATTAAATGCCTAACCTATAAGAAAATTTTCAATAATTGTATGCAGTACTTGTTTTACTAATGAAGTTGATATATTAAATTACTTAACAGTTACGTTAAACAACGAAAACGTTTGTGTTTGTTTAGAAATAATTCGGTGATATGTAAATTACATTAATGTTTATTTTTATGGTTTTTTTTCTTCACAATACCTTCTGACATATTTTTATCACGTACAGTTTATTGCGATGAGGGAGGGTAGATATAAAAATAACGAGGAATCAAACTTATTTTCTTAAATATTAAGCTTTATATCTGAATTTTTCAAAATAGACAGTTTTTGCAAATCATTGTAACACTCTTATTCAGCCTTCAAATTAACTGCAGCATTTTTATGTATTCACCCAGAGACATGTTTGGGTTGATGTTTGGACTTTTTGTGTTCACCCAGAGCCGTGTTTGGGTTGACATTAGGACTTTTTGTATTCACCCAGAGCCGTGTTTGGGTTGATATTAGGATTTTTATTCATTTTGTTTGAAATTTAACAATTATTATTTTCTATCAATCGTTATGTTGTGTAATAAAGAAAATTATCACTGTTTACTATTTAAACTGTTTCTTTACGGACAAAAAAAACACACAAAAAACAAGCTATGCATGAATAAGTTAATATGTTGGTTTTGTTGAGAGTTCAAGTAGCCATCTCATGTTCTTTGTCTTAACGCTGGTTCTCAAATAACACTTTGTTGCGTGATAATAACTCGCCTTCTTTTTCCCTTTTTTGCGCACACCACAAATGCTAAATTCAGGCAAGCAATTGAAAAAACAAATTATAAAAAAAACATTTTACTCCGAAGAGTGCAGAAGAATAAGCGATATGATATCAGTGATAATCTCCTTAAAACAACAACAACAAATTCATTTGAACAGCCTAGAACACGTACACAGTATGGAAAGGACTAACATTTTTAGCGTATTAAAACAACATTTGATACGAGTAACATATCCAATAGCTTCATATATAATTAAATGAAAGAACGTCAGTAAGTGGCCCCAATAATTACAGCATGCCGAGAAACAGCAAACCTTATCACAAGCTTTAGATTACGTAGCTACACGTATCAGATAAATACTTTAGAGTACATTTAATTTTCATCAGACACGGCTAAAATTTCCTAATAATTATGGGCTGTAATTGGTCAGAATGGAGCTTTTTCATTTTTAAGTAATGCTCATCTGACACTACCTTGAATCTGATCATAAATGAACTAATGAGACGATTTCCATGTCAAACGTAATTGTCATTAAAGTGCAAAACTTGCACATCCAGCATGTTTACTGTCACCTGACCATTCGTGGCCAGTATTACTTTCATTCATGAGAGAACGTGACACACAGCTGAATGACACTGTCCGACTTTCGACATTTGTACATCACTTAATATCGTTTGATACCTTTAATGTCTGTTATGGTTGAGGGTGCGTCACGGTAAATCCAAGACTTGAGACAATCCCATAGCTAAACAGTCAACAAGGTTGAGTTTAGGACATGGTCATATGTACGAAAACGTCCCGCAATGAATTTACAACGTGAGATTGAGCTCCAACTAACATGTAGAATCACTGAAAACTATTCTCTTAAGCTTAAGAATGATAACATGCTCCAAATTACAATAAAACAGACTATCTTTGTTCCATAACTCTTTGGCAGGGTGTGGCCTAACGGTTAGCGTGCCGAATTGTGAACCTGAAGATCCATATTTCACGATAGATTGCCACAAAATTGGGGCATTATTCCGTTATTGGGGCCGTGGGTGGAATTAAAGAGTTGACGGTGGGTGTTGTTGACTACCTTCCCTCATTTCAATTTAGGGATGACTAGTGCAAATGGCACTATTGTGTTGACAAACAAATCCACCAGTTTCTTGCCTGCATATTCCTCTCGGTTCTCTTTTTTCACTTCGATATAATCTTGATGCTGCATCAACATTATTACCAGAACTGTAGCAATGGATTACGGTAAAAACTCATAAGTTTAAATATAAGAGCCATTTCTAATGGAAAAAGAAATCGTGCCATCTTTACTGCTTTTTTTTTCTATATAGTCTTAGGGATGTAAGTTGCATTACAGCGCATTCTGGTGGTAATTATTCTTGCACTTGAATTGCCTTTTTCATCATCTCGTTATCTAATCTATCGAGCTTTATGATGGTCAGTTTTCGAGTTATGGACAGATGAATAAGCCAAGGAACTTTACAATAGCCTTATAATCACTTCAGTCATATACTAACGTTTTATAATTACTTATAAATACTATAATAATTATACTTTTTAATTACTATAATCGCTTATAATTATATGCTAATTACCACGTATGAAACACACCAATTGTAAGGTTGAACATATATAGTTAAGCCACATAGCATTAAAATATACCCATATTTAGTGCACATCGACAATAATCATCAGATATAGTTATTTTAATATTCACTGGTTAAGGCGCTCGTCTTGTAACCTGCGGGTCGTGGGTTCGAATCCTCGTCACCAAACATGCTCACCCTTTCAGCCGAAAGAACGCACTATTCGTTGGTAAAAGAGTAGCTCAAGAGTTGGCGGTTGGTGGTGTTGGCCAGGTGCTTTCCCTCTAGTTTATCACTGCTAAATTAGGGACGGCTAGCACAGATAGCCCAAGTGTAGCTCTATGGGCGAAATTCAAAACAAACCGAACCAATATTTATTGGTGATATAATGGAGAGGATCAAGCACATTATATATAAATGATTTTCAATATGAAGGTTAAGTTACAAACACAGTCGCGGTGAAACGGCATGTATCAGGTTTAGATTTGACAGTGTTTAGAGGGTCTGGTAAGTATTGTGATGCAACAAAAAATGAATCGCTTTTGAATTAGGATATGTAACAATCCCTCTGACGCAAAATATTCATACACTCAGACCTTAGAGAAGCGTTCAGATCGAGATTTAGAATTTCCAAGATGAGGATATCCATAGCACTTAATGTCATTGGAAAATATATTAACATTGATCAACTTGGGCCACCAGAATCGTCAAGAAAGGTACCTAGAAAAACAACAACATTGCACCCAATCGTGGTAACCAATCTGACATGGAAGAATCTATGAACACAAAGGAAGGAGCCGTCTACTTGCTTCAGGCAAGACACTAGGGCAACAAAGTGTGGGTTAACCAAGACTATGCTGCCAGTCACAGCTGGAATTTATCTGTTGCACATCTGAAACAGCTATAGAATGCAGCATAAGTTATGCATATAAATACACACACACACACACACCCCAGTGGCACAGCGGTATGTCTGCGAACTTACAACGCTAGAAACCGGGTTTCGATACCCGTGGTAGGCAGAGCACAGATAGCCCATTGCGTAGCTTTGTGTTTAACGTCAAATAAATAACGATTATTAATTTAATTTATTGGTTCAAACCCTAGGTTCAAACCTTATTTCCCCGGACGTAGGACAGGTGCCTCAACTTGTCATATATAAAATTTAAGACCAGTGTGGCAAATAGTGGTTAGAGTAGCAGGTCGAGGGATCGAAATGTTTGTGCTATGATATGTTGTTGACACGCTCTACATGTCATAGCCACTAGTATGAAATACCCGCGCTGGACTGCAGGGTTTCAAAGGCACCATCATGATTCGCAGAGGACTGAATGTTCCTATCAAGTTTCTCTATTTTCCACAATTATTTCAAAAGGGGTTCATACCCGAGAAAATCTGGTAGGACATCCACTCGTGTTACCTGAACACACGTGCCAAGTTTGGTCTCGGAAAATTTGTTCCTAGACCCCCATCATGCCTGGGTGTTTCTCCGAGAGTACGTTAGCCTTCATTGGTACCCTAAATAAATAAGGGTAAAGACTGCACCATTTAGATAAGAATATTCTCCCTAGACCACCGCAAGTCCACCTGCCGGGTTTGGTACTGCTAGCCCTAAAACTGGGGGAGGAGTTCGAAGACAAAGAAATTCATTAACTAACATCGTGAATTAAATATAGGATAACGTAGAATCTAGATATTTGGTTTGGTTTGTTTAGAATTACGCGCAAAGCTAGTCGATGGCTATCTGCGCTGGCCGTCCCCAATTTAGAAGTGAAAGACTAAAGGAAAGGAAGCTAGTCATCACTCCCCACCGCTAACTCTTGGACTACTTTTTTACCCCCGCATAGTGGGATTCACCGTCACACTTTAATGCCCCACAGCTGAAAGGGCGGGTATGTTTGGTAGGACGAGGATCTAGTTATGTGGATTCAAATAGTCGCATAAACAGGGTGTACTGGTGACTGTTTGGCTTCCGACTGGCTAGCACCTCTAAATTAAGAATGGCTATGCCTGCACCTCGGATTCTTTAATCCTCGTTCAGCTTATGTGGTGTGTAAATTTCCGTTCAGGTTGAAAATGCCAAATATCAAGTACAAAAGTAAATATATTATTAACTACGGTAGTAGTTAATAGTAGGGATCGACAAGGTTTACAAATAATTCACACGCCGAAAAACCGACTGATCCGAGTATCGGTTATGATATATCATGCCCATATATACTAACAATACGCTAAAAAGGTCGCTAACATTTCCAGTAACAACAATTCAAAAATTTCTGAAACATCAGCTGTTTCGTATACTACCTCCCTATCTACCTGATCACGTCAGCTGGTCTAGCCCCTAGATGGCTCGGACTATCGCTACAAGATTTTTCCAGCTCACTTAAGTGGCCTGTGGGTATCCGCCTTTGTTATTCCGATAAATATATATATATATATAGATAGTATTGTTTTTTATATATAAATGTTAAATATATGCACGTACTTAAATATTAATTTAAACCCAATTCAACCCAACAGATGGTGGTGCTACATATCGATGGGTATACACGCGACAGTTTCTAAAGGTAAAGTATATACTTTATGCAGATATAATATAAAAAGTAAACAAACAAGAGTATTAAAAAAATGTGAATTTTAAAATGAAGTTGGGATCCTGCTATAAAAGTAATGAAACAAGAATTAAAACCACAATCACAAACTCATAAAATTTAATCCCTAGTTTGGCAGCTTTATACATTTATCTATAGGCCAAAGTAAGGATATGGCTATGCTGAGAATTGTTATGTCCATTCCATGGAAATATAAAAACTGAACAACTAAATAGGTTGGCAACTATGGTTGGCATTGTGATCCATATAGCTAAATGAAGCAATCTAAATTTGCCAACTAAAGAGGGATTGAAAATCGTTATAAAATCTATCCAACTACTATCACTTTCTTGTTTGTGTACTTTTTAGTGCAGCATTTATTTTGTTTTGGATATTTCTTATAGCAATTCTACAAATAACCAACGATCCCTACTTTCTGTTAATTTTTTTCTATTTATTATAATAATACTCAGTTTTTGTTTTCCTGAAAATGCGCGCCAATGTTACTATGTAAACGCGCGTGCGCGCGCACTTCATTTCAACTGATGTAAACAAAAGACGGATGTAAATATATTTTAGTAGACATTTTGTACAACAACATATTAAAAGCTTATCAAAGTTTTTCAAAAGGTCTAACGTAGAATAACTTTATAAGTTTATTTACTGATAGTATCAAGTACTGTAGAGTTTAGCCCCAACTAAAATAAAGCAGAAAGCATACACACGTTATAGTGTTAATTTATCTCTTTATCGAATATGCGCCATACTTGACAAAGGCTTAACTAATGTTAGGCCTAAGACAAGTGGACTTAAAGGTTTCTGTGTTTTCGATTAGAATTATTTATTTTTTCTAGAAATCCTGTACGTAAAGAAGTACTGTTGCAATAAAGATAGTGATTTAAACGCAAGTGTTTTCATGGACCTCTGCTGGAATATGAACAATATTCTATTGTTATCTACATTTTATAAGCAGGAAATGTTTTGCGATTTTTCAGCCTTAATTAACCCTACCTTACGTAAAGACAGAGATTTGCATTTACCTAATACTATTTTCTTCGGTCAATTAGCCTTCAAAATGGTTAATGTCTTATACATATGGCTATCCTTTAATAATGTGTAAACCGCTTATTAGATATCTGATAGGTTTAGTGTACTTTGTTATTTAAGATTTGCATTTACCTAACACTATTTTCTTCCGTCAATTAGCCTTCAAAATGGTTAATGTCTTATACATATGGCTATCCTTTAATAATGTGTAAACCGCTTATTAGATTTCTGATACGTTTAGTGTACTTTGATATTTATGTTCGATATTCTGAGATATATGATTGAGTTATGTTCACTGAGAACAGCAAGATTAAAACATATGCAGATTCTAAACTTTTGTACGGTGAAAAATAATAATGATGGAGAAACGTGAAATAAAAAATTACACTTACTAGAATAACACCCGAATTTCATTTTACCTTTTGAATAGTTCAAAGAAACGTCTGTTATCACATTAGACCAGATAAAGAACTCAACACGGAGTTCTAAAGCGACTTCAGTGTTCAGGATCCCCAGAGGTTGGTCGCATAATTGATTTTAATTTAAACTTTTACATCGCTTCATAATGCTTGGAATTAATAAGCGAAGCTTTAATATAATATGCAGATAAACGCATGTAGCTGAAATGATCAAAACATTTTCCCTGACTTAACAATTAAACTTTTTCTGCATGCATAAATATTTCTTCATTTCAAACTCTTTTTGAAGTTTGACAATGATATTCAGTTATCTTTATAAGTTTCAATACGAGGATGATGATGACCGTTATATTCAAATTGTTTCACGTGTTAATATGCGCAAAATATTACTACCCAATCTTAAAACCCAAAATTTGACACTTTGAGTAACAGATAGTATTTACCTGTGTTTACTTTGAATTACAAAAGTATTTACCTGTGTTCACTTTGAGTTACAGAAGTATTTACCTGTGTTCACTTTGAGTTACAGATAGTATTAACCTGTGTTCATTTTGAATTACAGATAGTATTTATCTGTGTTCATTTTGAATTACAGATAGTATTTATCTCTGTTCATTTTGAATTACAGAAGTATTTACCTGTGTTCACTTTGAGTTACAGATAGTATTTACCTGTGTTCACTTTGAGTTACAGACAGTATTTACCTGTGTTTACTTTGAATTACAGAAGTGTTCACTTTGAGTTACAGACAGTATTTACCCGTGTTCACTTTGAGTTACAAATAGTATTTACCTGTGTTCACTTTGAGTTACAGACAGTATTTACCTGTGTTCACTTTGAGTTTAACTATCACATATATCTGTTGTTTTCGACAGAGATGCTTTTAATGTAATATTGTATAAGTTGTTTTTTAAATTCTGTTAGATATGGTTTTTCTCTAAGTTATTTTCTTTCGGCAACATGCATGGCAGGGAAATTATTTACTATTTCTATATAGAGACTAGCTGATTCAATTTAATTTCTGTTTTGTGTGTGTGTTTTTTAAATACCAAGTGATACAAAGTGCATATCATTTTCTTTATAAGCCTCTGGCTATTTTCAGTACACGTTCTCATATATGCTTTATTTTCAAAGAGATTACACGCTTGAGATATGTTTTGAACAAGTCAAAATTGAAACTTCTAATAGAAAATGTTAATCTCGACAACAGCCTGATTTTTTTCTAAAAGCAGTCAGCCATTGATGTATTAGTACGTTTTTGGAAAACGGATTGGAGTACTTGTAAGGTTATTGGAGTGTTAACCTTTTTGATTTTTTCTGAAGTAGCGGTAATTTGTATTAAAGCTACCCTACAAGTAATTAATACTCGGAGCGAACAGGCTGTCATGTACAAAAAACCATATACGTATTAAAATTATAAAATGCAATGACAGTCTGAAGGAACTTTATTAGACAGGAAATTTAGGTCCCCCCAGTTGGTTCAGCGGTAAATCTGAGGGGGTTATAATGTTAAAAAATTGATTTCTATATTCGGGGGTGAGCAGAGCACAGACAACCCATTCTGTAGATTTGCATTTAAAAACAAACTAACTAAGACCTGGTTATTCAGTGGCAAATTTGTGATAATAATACGCTAAAATCCAAGTTCGATTCCCCGCGGTGAAGAAATTGCAGATAACTCATTGTGTGGCTTTGCGCTAAAACAAACAGTCGAAAACCTTAGTCACCACAATCAAACGACAATCTGGTGATCAGTGGCTGCTGTTGATGTATAAAAGGCGGCCAGAACCAAACAAAATCAGTAATCAGTGTCTGATGTTATGGATTTAAGCCGTTACTATTGTAGCTAGAAGATGATAATGTAAACGGCAACAAGATGGACAGTGATTATTGTTTGTTATTTAAAGTTGGATGATAATCTAAACGACAATAAGATGGACAGAAAAACATCCGTAAAGTCTAATATTTTACTTTTAAAAACATCCTTAAAGTCTAATATTTTACCTTTAAAAACATTCGTAAAGTCTAATATTTTATCATACAAGTCTAAACAACAAATAATAATCACTGTCCATCTTATTGCCATTTAGTTTATCATACAACTTTAAATAACAAACAATAATCACTGTCCATCTTATTGCCGTTTAGTTTATCATACAACTTTAAATAACAAACAATAATCATTGTCCATCTTGTTGTCGTTTAGATTATCATCCAACTTTAAATAACAAACAATAATCAAATATTTTATCTTTAAAAACATCCGTAAAGTCTAATATTTTATCTTTAAAAACATCCGTAAAGTCTAATATTTTCCCTTTAAAAAACATTCGTAAAGTCTAATATTTTACCTTTAAAAACATTCGTAAAGTCTAATATTTTACCTTTAAAAACATCCGTAAGGTCTAATGTTTTACCTTCAAAAAAACATTCGTAAAGTCTTAATATTTTACTTTTAAAAACATTCGTAAAGTCTTAATATTTTACCTTTAAAAAACATTCGTAAAGTCTTAATATTTTACCTTTAAGACTTTACGGATGTTTTTTAAAGGTAAAATATTAGACTTTACGGATGTTTTTAAAAGTAAAATATTAGACTTTACAGATGTTTTTTAAAGGTAAAATATTAGACTATACGGATGTTTTTAAAGGTAAACTTCTAAAAGTTTAAATTAGATGACGAGCAATAATTTGTTCTTTAAATTAATCAAAAAGTAGAATTTTTAGACTAATTCTATGGGAAAGACAGGCAACACGTGCGTCGACGCAAGATATAAATAATAATTTTTATTTACCGTATTTTTCGGTGTATAAGACGCACTTTTTTACTTCAAACTTTGATGTAAAAATTTGTTTGCGTCCTATAAACCGAAGGTAT